CTAGAAACTTGAAAGCTGATTCTGCAAAGGTCAAGAATTTCAAGATACTCCAGCAGCAGATTTAAGATAAAGAGAATAGACTTGTCAAATAGCAAGAATTATTTTTAACTTGTATTAATTGAGTGTTAATAATAGCCTAAAGGTGAAAACAACACAAATGTCTATCAGCTAATCAAAGAATAAATATATATATATATATATTTATATATATGAGTGGAATAATATATAGCTGACTAAAGTACTGATAACTTGCTGTAATGTAGATGAATCTTGAAACTATGCTAAGTGGAAGAAGCCAGTCACCAAAAATCATATTACCCAGGTCTATTCATGTGAAATATTCACTAAAGGAGCTTTATAGAGATAGTAGATTAATGGTTGCTTAGGGATGGTGAGGTTTACAAAGATAAGGACATAAAGCTGATAGCTAAAGGATATGGGTTTCCTTTTTGAGGTGGTGAGAATGTTCTAAAATTTTGGTAGGGTTACATATAAATAAACACACTAAAGACTATTGATCACACACTTTAAATGCATGGATTTTATAGTATGTGAATTATGCCACAATAAATCTGTTAAAGCTACATAGTAATTAGCATAGTGTAGTATTGTCTTACAGATGGAAGAACATTTATACTGGAATACAAGGCTAGAAATAAATGTGCTCTTATGAGGGATCTTGATTTAAGATAGATGACATTGCAAGCCAGTTTGGAAAATAAGAGCATTTTGAATTGTGCTCGACATCCATATGGAAGAAAATGAAATTATACCTCCTTCATACCATACAGAAAAATCAGTTTTAGGTGAATTAACTGTGAAACAAAAACCTATTAAACCTCTAAAAGAAAAGATAGAAAGACATTTTTATGACCTTATGCATCTATACCTGGTTTTTGCATCTATGTTAAAAATATATATAACAATATAGAAATATATTCAACGACAATTTAAATCAACAATATAAAAAATGTATATATTCAAATGCATGAAAAGTCTTTGGTCCTCAAGCCCTTGGAGAAGTAGTTGATTTCATTTAGGCACAGGAATTGTATTGAGCTTGGGACATTTTGTGCAACATATCAAAGAAGCTATTAGGATCTTGTCAGATGGACTTGAGAGAACTGAAAAGCTTCCCACTGGCCAAAGTTAGGACAATTTGAGTATCAGTAAGGACACACAAGTTCACTGAAATTCTGAAATTAATTGAGCACAGGTTGGAACATATCAAATTTAATAATTTAATAATGCCTTTAAGTCCATGAGTTCATAATGATAGTAAAGCTAACGAGTACCTAGTGCTCAACAAAGGAGGATGCAATGGAATCAATTCATTATTTTGAAAGCCAGTAAAATAAATAAGCATTTGCCCTGCCTTTCCTATAAGAATTGTACTGAAGTTAAACAAATAGTAAATGAGAAGACATTTACTATATACATGTACTAATAAATGAAGGAATGATAGAAAATTGCCATCGTGAGATTCATAATGAATAAACTAATTTATTCATTTTACATTAACATGACAAACAAGGAAACTATGCCTCTTAATGGAAAAACATGCTATCATCTATTTAAAAATCTTGCCAAAAAAATTAAACCTGACTAGGGAATATAGAGAACATGTTAAATAGCATGGCTATGCAATCAGGAATATTCAATCTATGGAAAAATCATGGGACAAATTAACTTCAACCAATAGATAGCAGAAGAGGGAGAAAGAAGGTGGAGAAAAGTATAGGTTGAAAGAGGCTTACTTAAAAGACATATGAAGCAATGTGAGAACTTATTAGTTTTCTGTTGCTGTATAACAAATTAGCGTAACACTAAAGATATTTATCTCAAAGTGTCTGAGTGTCAGGAATCCAGGCTTGGCTTAGCTAGATATTCTGGTCCAGGGTCATAGGAGTTTGCAGTCAAGCTGTTGGCTGGGTTGCTGTCTTCTGAAGGTGATAGAGGATGGGTGATAAAACACCCAGTTCCAAGACGGCTCACTCACAGGGCTTCTTGAGAGTGTCTACAACATGGCACTTAGCTTTCCCCAGAGCAAGTGATCCAAGAGAAACAAGTTAAAATCACTGAAACTGATATATCCTTCTGTATTCTATTAGTCCCACAGATGATCCCTGACACAGTGTGGCAAAGAGGTACACAAAAGCATAAACAGTAGGAGGCTGGCTACCACAATTTTACCTTCAAAGATTCACATCCTTCCCATATGCAAAACAGTCATTCTCTCCCAAAATTCTCCAAAACACTCATTACTTTACACCATTAGCTAAAAGTACAGAAATGGAAAACAAAAACCAGATACAGATGCAGCTTTTCAGATGTACTTCCTTATGCACAACTCCTTAAGTAGAGTTAATAAGAAGACTTGTAAACAAAGACAACATAGTATTTGCTCCCACACACCTAATATAAAATGGGTAGGATAACCATGTGCATTTAAAAAGGGGGGATGAGGCACACAAGTTTACAAAAACTTTGAAATCCACCTGAGCAACCTGATTGGCAGTTCTTTGATTAAAATCCAAAACATGAGAGTAATTTTCCATGGCTCTTAACTCTGCCTTGTAGTCTGTTGGATCCCACTCACTGAAACATCCTTCCTTTTCCATGTTTACAGCTGTGTAGTTCTCTGCCTGTAGCAGCTTGGATGCCCAAGGCCTGTTTCTATTTGGTTCTCTGTCCCTTCTAATCCAGGCTGGCAAAGAGCCTGTTAATATGATCCTTTTAAAACATCTCTTAAAAATTATACACTGCTAATATAATTCTCTTATAAACTTTGTGGGTCTCCTGTGAATTTTATTTGAGTTCACACCATTAAACAAAGCAACACCCATAAATCTCTTCCATATAAACACTTTTCTACCTCAGGCTTTTCATACACCACACCCTTAATTTACACCAAGCCCTATAATTTGATTAAGAGGTTGTGAGGCACACTTTTCATATCTAAATGAAAGGACTGAGTTACCACATTAGATCTTTTTGAGATCTTAAAGGGCTTTACAACTATACTCTCAGTTCCTTATCTTCCTGTTGGTGCTCTGGATTTGTTCTTCGATTTGAGCCATTTCCTGATTTTATATCTGTCGCCTGGATAGGCTGGGAATCTTCAAATCTCACAAGTTCTGGCTCCTTTGAAACAGTCCTTTAACTTATCTCTCTCCTTATGCTTTACCATAAGTAACAAGAAGAAACCAGGTGACATTGAGCATTCGAGTTGGAAATCTCCTTGGCTAGATCACCCAGTTTGTTAGGCATATTTTCCATTGTACTATGCGCATAACTGCAGGTGACAAAGTTGCTAAACTCCCTGCCGCTTTTCTCCAATTTCAGTAATATTATTTTAATCTGTTAAGACCTCATCTGCAGCCTCCTCAGTGTTATGCACCTACAATTTCTTTATTGCTGTCCTCCAAGGCCTTCCATCTTCTGCCCTCTGCCACTTCCAAAGCCACTCTTACATTTTAAGCTTCCATGTCACCATGCCACTTTTAAGTACCAAAAACTGTTTCCTATTGCTTTATAACAAATACAACAGTGGGGGTGAAATACTGTAAATCCATGGACATGGATGAATCTAACAATGATAAGCAACAAACCAATTCACAAAATACTATCACAGGATTCCACTTCTATAAAGAATCAAAAAAATAAAAAAGTCTGGTTTAAGGGTGCAAACATGAATAAATCTATAAATTCAAGCAAAAGTGATAATCACAAAATCAAGACAGTGATTTTCTTTGGCTACTGAAGGTAGGGAATAGGTTAAGGAAGGAACACATAAGGAATGTAACACTGGTATAATTTTACATGTTGGGTTAGCTGGAACAGTCCTGGTTTGCCTATTTTCCTGGTATAGTAATAGCACTCTTTTCACTCTCAAAGTTGCCCTGGTTTGGGTAATAATTATATATTTATCCTTTTTAAAGTAACTTTTCCCCTTTAATCTGGATAGAAGCATATGGATCTTCATTGTACAATTTTTCCTTATATAATGCAGGTATTTTACAAACATTTAAAACTAGAAAATATTTAATATAATTTAAATTTTTAGTCAGCAACAACAGAGTTAAAAAAAAGTAAATCCGTATGTAGGATAAATGTAATAAAATCCTCATCTGGGTAGACGTGAGCTAGGTAACATACTACATGTCTGGCATTATGTTAGCCCTTTACAGATAGTACTTCATCTTCATAGCAAGATTTTTAGATAGGTAATAACTCCATTTTACACATGAAGAATCTGAGGCACAAAAAAGAGTATATGTAATTTAACCAAAGTCATACAGTGATGAAGCAGAATCTGAACCCAAGCAATGTGACACCAGACTACATGCTCTAAATGTAAGCAGGAAATCCAATTATACAAAAAATATTACATCCAGTCAGGGGTAGATATATTAATTAATTTATTTATTTTTGGTAACATACATTAAGTGGCACTTTAATTACACAGTAACTATTGGGTAACTAACATGAAACAACAAAACTTAACTTCACCACAGCTGCATGGGCTTGGGCCTTTCCCGCTGGGGACATTTTGAAAAAATCGGATATTCATTCCAGAGCTATGCCAATGAAATCTGTTCTGGAGGGAAGTTCTGAAGTGGCAACTCCTCAGAGTACATTGCGGCTGACAGATGACAGTCGAGTCGTGTTAGTTATGAAGTAGTTGCAGATTAATTCACAAACGTTACCGTTTCTCTTTCTAGAAAGAAATTAAGCAATTCCTTGAATTAGCATCTGGTATGTCAGGTGGGGGTGCAGAGGAGGGCTGTTAGAGCTGTGTCAGAAAGCCTGGGGCAGGTCAGGTGGGTAGGACATCATTAATAATCATGGTTGGCTTCTGAATACTGGTAGCAAGATGACTTCAGAGTTGTAGTCTCAGGTAAATTATAGATAACTGAAAAAGGCCAGTAATCATACTCCAAGATTAATCAACAACCCTTCAAAATTAGCCGCATGAGTGTTGTACTTGCATCAGGGTTTCACAGGATAAGGCACCCACATTTTTTCCCTACACGTCTGGCTTGCAGAGCAGCTCTTGTGGCCATTTCAAAAACCTCTCTCACTCCATCTTTGGTCTTCGCTGAACACTCCGTGTACCCCAAAGCACCAATCCTGTCTGCCATGTCTCTGCCTTCTTCCGGTTGTACTGGCTCCTGATTCATCCTGGCTAGCTTGTGCCTTGTGCGCGTGCTATACCGAAGATCCTTCTTGTTCCCCACCAAGATGATGGGGACGTTGGGACAAAAATGCTTGACTTCCGGAGTCCACATTTCTGGGATGTTTTCTAAACTATCTGGGCTATCAATGGAGAAACACATCAGTATAACATCGGTGTTGGGGTAGGAGAGGGACCTCAAACGATCATAATCTTCCTGCCCTGCTGTGTCCCACAAGGCCAACTCTACCCACTGTCCATCCACTTCAATACCTGCTACAGAGTTCTCAAACACCGTAGGAACATACTCCTCTGGGAACTCGCCCTTGCTGAAAACGATGAGCAAGCAAGTCTTGCCACAGGCTCCATCACCAACAATCACCAGTTTCTTCCGTATGGCAGCCATTGCTTACGAATGTGCTGCAAGACCCGCGGCCTGTGTGGCAGAAGTTCTACAAAGTGGCTTGAACGTCTCAAACGAAACGCACTCGGGCGACGGCTCCGACTCGGGCCTCTCTGCGCAGAGTACGCCCGTGCGCGAGTCGCCAGCTCAATGACCAGGGCGGGTGTCTGTCGCGGCGGCGGCCTAACGAAAGAACCGACGGTAGGACGGCGTGCGGTGGGCCTGGAGCGCCAGCGAGCAAGGGCGGTGGGCCACGGGAGGGCAGGGAACGACGTCTTAATTCAGACTTTCTGACATTTGTTCTACTCCAGAGAGATCATATTCTTTCCCGCCCCCTGCCTTTCTGGTTTGGAATTACACTCAAAATGAGATACACGAATAACTTCGTTTATTAGAAATAAATATGTCTCTATGTGGTGCATGTAGGTGGGGGATGAGAAAAAGGAGCTGTTACGATGAAGAGGTATGTGTGTAGATGATTGGAAGCTTGGAACTGCTTTAGATGTTTATTTGGTTCCAAACACATTGTACATGAAATTATTCATAAAATTATTGATACCACTGTGCCTTGCAGTTATTTTATTTGTCAATACTTGTAGCAATGCAACAATCAAAAAAAAGGAAAAAAAAATAGATTGACACTTTTTAAAAGTTTTATTGGGTTAAAAGAAAAACATGGGACAAATTTTTGATTTGCCTTTCTCATGATTTGATGTCCCAGCAGTGCAACTGGGGAACCTAATTCTAACCAACAAGGAGAAATTGCTTGGCTAATTGGAAGTGACAGAAACCTTGGGAGAAAACAACCACATACCAAGGATAATTATAAGAAGGTAACATGGGCCCTAAAGGATAGTGTCAAGAAATCTGAAGCCCCCAAATGAGGGGAGACTTGCAAAAAATGCTAAGACAGGACAAAGAAGGGGCCTTTTAAAATTCTGTTCAGAGCAAGAGGATGATCAAGGAAAAGAAAAACCCACTTGCAGTTTCTGGTGTAAGGTTAGCACTGACAGAGAAAGCAGGGCTCCCGAAATATTATTTTGCTTCATTCTCAATAAAGGACCCTTAAGTGGGTTGACATAATAGAAAGAATTATGTGTATTTGTGGGGTCAGGCAGACCTGGGTTTAATTCTCTTTTTCAACACTTAGTAGTTATATTACCATGAATCTCCTTTTTCTCATCTGTAAAATGGAAATAACTATCTTTCTCATAGGATTGTTTTGAGTAATGGAAGTAACACATCCAAAATACTGAGCCAGGCTCACAGTAGTGTCTCAGTAAATAGCAACTTATTAATATTACTGAAAAGAGTAGTATAAACATTGACAAGAAGAAATACTCTTCCCAAATAAGAGAAAACATTTTAAGAAACCTAATAGTTTCAGTTTAGATTATATCATCTGATATCAGTGGCTTATATTGAAGGCTTTGGGGGTGGGAGGTGGAGAGTAGGAATGAGACCTGAGAACAGATGTTCTCTTCTTCGAGAAATTATGAGAAACAGAATAGGTACTAAACCACCAAATGTGGGCAAATGTCTGCCTTCAGGGTGAAAAGTGGAAATCTAAAACCTGGAATCATTTGCCTTTTGATTCAGTGATATTTTCTCCCACTGGTGTAGTATTCATTTGCCCAGGGAATGGGGAATGCCAAAAAAAAAAAAAAAAAAAAAAAAAAAAAAGAAAGAAAGAAAGAAAGAAAAAAAGAAAAGAAAGAAAAAAAAAAGAAAAGAAAGAAAAAAAGCAACTGAGGCAAGGGAATATTCAATTTCCCAAAGACGTGTTTAAAGTGAAGATATGAGTCTTGGAAGCTAAGATGTTGAAAATAGAATAGGTTTCTTGAATTTCTTCAAAGCTTTGAGAGAAAAAGGGAAAACTTGTATCCTAAAGCAAGATGAAGTAGGTTGAATGGTAGCACCCAAAAAGATAAGTTCATGTCCTAATTCCTGAAACCTGTGAATATTACCTGATTCAGAAAAAGGGTCTTTGCAGATATAAATAAGTTAAGAATCTTGAGATGAAATCAGGCACCCTGGATTGTCTTCTGGGCCAAAAATCTAATGTCAAGTACCCTTATGTGACAGAAGAGGAGACATAGAGAAGGCAATGTGACCACGGAGGCTAAGGTTGGAGCAATGTGGCAGTAAATGAAGGAATGCTGACAGCTACCAAAAGCTGGAAGAGGTAAAAAAATAGATTCTCCACTACATCCTTTAGAGAAAGTGCAGCCCTGATAACATCTTGATTTTGGACTTCTCGTCTCAAAACTAATATAAGAGAATAAATTTCTGTTGTTCTAAGCCACCGTTTTATGATATTTTATTACAGCAGCCCTATGAAGTCACTACATAGAACTTAAAGGGAATCTGGTAATCTCTCTAGTAGATTGTTTTCTTGGGTTGGAAGGAATGGGGTTGTGAAATGGGTGGTGGAGGGTGCAGAAGGTCTGAGGGTCTCTTGGAAAGAATATGTGAACCAGAGTGGAGTTAGAAATTTACAGGGGCTTTTTCAGAAATTGTCAGCTTCAGAGAGACCTGACAGGGTTACCATGCATTGCCAGAACCAGGAAGTCATGTGGCAGGCAGCTCATCAATATTTGAAGTCCCCCCCCAAAGTAATTCATGTCATCAGAGAAAGTTTCTCTTTGATTGACAAATACTTTCTACTCCCCACCACCTTGAGCTGTAACAGAAGTAACAGCTGTCTATCTATATGCTGATACTTTTTACTCAATCCTATCTAAACTTCTCATAGGAAAAAAAAGTATCTTTTCAATATTCTCTGGCAGTCTCAAACACTTAGAATAAAGACAGGATCATGCACAACTGAACGGGTTCCAGTGATACTGAATGGAATACATATCACTTGGAAAACCTTCCTTCAATCTTTATTTGTCAGAGACTTTATCTGTTCAGTTGAGAGTCCCACTTCTACTCCCCAAGCAGGACGACATTGATCCTAGGCAAGAATCTAAAGGGAATTATTAAAAGGTTGATCTGAGAACATCTATGAGAGAAAATGGTGCCCTAGACAGGTACCTCAGTTGGTTAGGGCATTGTCCCAATATGCCAAGGTTATGGTTTGATCCCTGGTCAGGGCACATACAGGAATCAACTAATGAAAGCGTAAATAAATGAAATAGTAAGTCAAGGTCTGTCTGTCTGTCTCTCTCAAAATCAATAAATACTTTTTTTTTTTCAAAAAGAGAAAGCAATTTGGGTTTACCAACCAGAATTAATTTGTTCTATTTAATTTTCTTCCTCACAGGAGTACTAGACTAGGACACCAATGAAATGTAGTAGACAATATTTATTGTATCTGTGCCCAACAGGCATGGACATTTTTTTTAATCATATACTCATGAGTCAGTTGGGGACGAAATGGGGCTGGGTGACAGACTGATTCCTGGGTGGCAGTCAGCCTCTGCAGAGGTTTTTAGTATAGAACACAGTCCCTCGCTAAGTTAACACTGTATTTTTATTGACTTGAGAAAATATCCTTGTATAAAATTAATATTTATCAAAACTTTACCTGATTCAAAGATGGAAAGGATACGGTGTTTTGCAAACCTTAGGACAGCTTGATGTTGACTCAGGGCAAAAGTCTAGATAGCCATATTTAGAATCATTATATTTTGGGATTCTAACCATGTAAGCAGAGTCCAGCAAACTACTATGGATTTCTAAGTTTATTCACTCATTTAGGTGTCACAAATTAATGGAAAATCTACTCTGTGTAAATATCTATGTTGGGCTTTAGAAAAATGATTAAGGTATGGTCCTTGGAATGCAGGAGTTTAAAATCTCATGAGTGAAGCAGACTTGTAAAGAGATAAAGTATATTACAAATAAATAAAATAAATATTCATTGTAAGGGTTTCTATTTAGTAAAAATTAAAAATAAACTGCATTCAGCCCCAGCCAGTGTGGCTCAGTTTGTTGGGCATTACCCACCAACCCAAAAGGTTGCCAGCCAGGACACATGCCTATATTGCAGGTTCAGTTCCCAGCTGGGCTTGTATGGAAGGTAACTAATTGATGTTTCTTGCTCACATCAATGTTTTTCTCCTTCTTCTTCTTCCTACCTGCCCCTTTCTCTAAAATCAAAAATAAAAATAAAATTTATCAAAAAATAAATGAAAAACAACTACACTTAATTGTTTGGGATAGACTGACACAAGCATATGAACACCTTAAAGAAGGGGAAAAAATATTTGCCAAGAATATGACACTGGGCTGATTTTCTAAAAATTAACAAGAGTTTAAAGGAGAAAACACAAATAGTCAGTAAAGATATAAAAATGTTTTTAAAATTTATTTTATTTATGAGAAAATCAAGACAACAAATTTGAAAAACAAATAGTATTCCAAGCTTGCAAAGTTGTGGTGAGATGGATTATAAAAAAAAAAAAAATCACTTTTTATTTTTCAATTACAGTTGACATTCAATAATATATTAGTTTCAGGTACATACCCCGTGATTACACATTATACGACTTGCTAAGTGATCATCCCAATAAATCTTATACCCACTTTACCCCATACATAGTTAGTAGAATGTCATTGACTGTATTCCCTATGTTACACTTTACATCACCATGACTATTCTATAACAACCAATTTGTACTTCTTAATCCCTTTACTTTTTTCACCCATCCCTTCAACCTTCCTCTCATATGGCAACTGTCAAAATGTTGTCTTTATCTATGAGCCTATTTCTGTTCTGCTTGTTCATTTATTTTGTGTTTTTAGGTTCAATTGTTGATAGATATATATTTATTGCCATTTTATTGTTCATTTTTTCATTTTCTTTCTCTCTCTCTCTTTTTCTTCCTTCCTCGCTTCCTCCCTCCCTTCCTTCCTTCCTTTCTTTTTTTCTTCTTTTCTTCTTAAGGATGACCCTTTAACATTTCTTGTAATACTGGTTTGGTGGTCATAAATTCCACTAGCTTTTTCTTGTCCAGGAAGCTCTTTATATGTCCTTCAAGTCTAAATGATAGCTT